GCCAGTTGTATGTAAGTTAGCAGGACCGGCTGTGGCAGTGACTGCTAATGTGACGTGTTTGTCAGTTATGAATAGTGACAAACGGCTACGATTAAATCAAGGACCCAAAAAGACAAAAGGTTAATTTTTACTATCAGTAATTTTCAGCTTAGTAAATGCAGATAAATTAATAATGTAGCATTTGTAGGGTCACAACTCACAATCATTGAGAACAATATGATGGGTGAGTTTATAATTTGGCTTTATTTATTTGGATAAAGTATCAACTTGGATTAGGACACCTTTATGTGTTTTAGAATATATATATTTTTTGTGATCAAATTTTTAAGAAATTTATTTAATATATAAAAAATTAATATATTTTTAAATTTATATTTGATGTATTAACAAAGTATAATTTCTATATATTATCAACTCACTAAATATTACCACCTCATTAATAAGAAAAAGTCATAAATCTTTATATAAATTAAATATTAATAATTTACTTTAATTGTCAACTCATCAAATATAAAAACTCTATTTTTTTTAACAAAGAAAAAATAATTGTTCTTCTCAAATTTATCATATTTTTTCCATTACTATTAAATATGTATAGTATAAAAATTAAGGACAATTTCTTTGAAAATATCATTTTGATTAGATAATGAGACGCAACACACTTTTATCTCATAAATTACTTTTTTTTTGTCAATATTTTGATATCAGATTTTGTAATTAAATTTCATATTTTACTCATTAAATACATGTAATAATAATTTTGCATAGAATAAATTTCTTAAAAAAAAAAAGAAGTTGATGTTAGTTTATCTTTTTTTATCATTTATTGTAACAAAGCATTAACATGGTGAAAGAGACATGGACCATGTGGCGGCAATTTTTTTTGTCAAAGTACTAATTACAGTTTTAATTTTTTTTGGCATAATGCTCAAAAAAAATTTTAAATTATTCAATAATATTCAAATAAATCTTTATTCTTTTATTACTTTTAATCAAGTCTTATATTTTTATTTTAAGTTAAATAAATTCTTATATTAATGATTTACTAATTACTATTAGTAAAAATATTATTTATCATTTTATATCTATATGATACTGATATGATATTGATGTGGAAAGTAAAAAATATCACATGATCTTGTTATCATGTCAAATTAACACGTCATATAATCATCGTTTTTGATATTTTAACATACCACATCAATATCACATAATATAAAATAATAAATAATATTTTGATTAAATTAATAATTAGTCATAAGACCTTATTTGACTCAAAATAAAAAATTTAATAATTTATTTTATTCAAAATAAAAGTATAAATGCTTGATTAAATGTAATAAAAGAATAAAAGTTTATTTAAATTTTCTTAAATAATCTAAGAGCTTTTTTTGTATATTATGCCTTTTTTTCATTAGTAAAAAATTGCTAACAACTTCGTTTCAAAAAAAAAATTGTGGTCATTATTCTATTTTGGTTAGGATTTTTTCCCAGTTAGTTATAATCAAATCCAAAACGACACAAATAATTCATATACTATAAAGTAAAATTCGAATTTGTTTATAATTAATAAGAAATACAAAATTGGTAAAATAATTAATGAATTTAGCTAGAGAAGTTTGGTATACGATAGACGTTTTCCACTCGCTTTTGGGGGTGACCGGGATAAAACAAACTACTTCCATTGCGCTATTTGTGTTAATCATCACATGTGTTGATTTTTAGTTTAATTTTAAACATTTCTTTGTCACCAATTACAATCATTGCACCGCCAAAATAGTTAAAAGTTAATATGACCTTTATTTACTCACCAATTAAATATGTCATAAACTCAAATAATCAGGGTATCTGTTATTTTTTAGATACTCTAATCTAAATTCTATTATTAGATAAAGTATTCGAATCTTATAAATATTGGATTAATTTTTTGAATTACTACTTGATCCAGTATCCACATATTGTACATGCTATTCGTTAAATATCCATATCTGATAATTATTCAATTAAAATAAATTTAAATTAATTTTATATATAGTATTAAGAAAAATTAAATTAATAAATTATAATTAGTTTATAAAAATAACTTAAAATTTAAAATCATATTTGGGACAATTAATTAATTTTAATAAGTAGTACATTAATTATAAAGAATTTATAAACAATAATACCATGTAAAATTAAATTTTATATTAAAAATTATTATTTATAATCGATTTTGAATAATGGGTACTCTAAAATCACTATCTAAATTCGTTATGAGTAATGGCCTTATTATTCAAATTCAATTATAAAATACTTTACTTTTATTTAATCAAATCGAGTAATGTAAAATATTCAATAGCAAATACCCATCAACATCCCTATATTTTTTTGTATAGTCCAATGCTCAATGAATGTTCAGACTGTATTAAAAAGAAATTATCATCTCAAATCAGTGAAAGGAAATGGATGTGCATTTCATTGGCTACAAAATTTTCTCTAGGGAGGTTAATTTTCCACAAAAGAAAACAGAAATAAAAGGGGAAATTAAAAACAATTAATTGCAAAGGACATAGGTAAAATTTGTCTAGTGTAAATTGGAATTTGTCAGAAGGCCCACATGAAGAAAGACAACCAGAAGACAATCCATTTAGTGATAGGACTGGGTAGGGTGGTGTGAAGTCTAAGCAAAAATAAATAAATAAATAAAAAGAAACAAAGAAGGTAAGGGAAAGAGGGAAGCCCACCAATTTTATTTTATTTTGTTTATATAATTCTTGTTAGTGAAAAAGGTCACCTACAATGAAGAGGGGAGGTTCACTTTAAAATAATTAATTAAAGTGATGGGTCAAGTTCTGTTGGGAGGGGAAAGGGTTTGGATGTGGGTGGGCAAGACAAGATTGGTGTCGTTTTCAATGTTTGTTTCCTCTCCAACTGTTTCTGTCTGATCCATTCATGCCTATTTGTAGCTTATATGTCTGGTTAAAGGGTCACTTTCTCATTGCTCTGGATTATTTATGATATTGTCCAGAATGTTTTTATGACTTTGTGAGATTATCCCTTCACTTCACTTTTGTTTTGGGGGAAAAAAAATGTGAGAGGGAAATTGAGAGAGAAAATGAAAATATTAAGAATATTCCTTGAAATTATTCAATTTTAATCATTTATGTATTTTTCTGGTTACAATCGCACGTGTAATTATAACATTTTTAAATAAAAAAAGTTGAACATAGAGGTGCATGGCAATGGCCGTCTTAAATGTTCATTTATAGTTTATATAGATTGGTATTCGGTCTGTATCAAACAATTAATATTAGAAAAGATTAAGTTCATGTTCTAGCCTTTTGGAAGGAAAATTTGTTCTCGAAGTAAATAAATTGAAAAAAAAATGACAATAATCATTACTTTTGGTTTTATTTCATAATTCATCTCTAACCCTAATATTTAATCGAAAGGTCTAAAAATAAGATTTTAAACCCATTGATTATGCAAACAAGTATCAAAATTCAAAGCCATAATCAAGAGAGTTGTGATGCTTTGAGGCCTTATTTAATTAAAGCTTAAACATGCTCTAAATTTAGAAACCATCAAAAGAGAAAAACCCTAATTTGAAGGGTAAATTTGTAATTTCACATTGTAGATTAAGTAAAATTTTTTTAATTAATTTATGTTAAATTAATCCAACCGAGTAACAAGGATCGAATCTTGTCCCTAAGACCAAAAGATCAGGAAACACACTTAACAACCAGTGGAAGAAGAGTCATGGTGTTGACCAATGAACATAAACCATGGTTAATTAATTGGATTGATTAAACCTGATTAACAAAAAAAAAAGTTAATTAACCATGGTTAGGCCCGAAGAGTTAGGGCCTCGGACAAGATGAAAACTTTAACTGTAGTCAGCCTTGATTTCAGAGTACATGAAACTCGTGATATCTTCCAGCAAAATATCGTGATATGAAAAAGGTTAGTTTTTTTTTGGGGATTATTCAAATATTTAATTGAACGCAGATTTATTTTATTATAAAAATAAATTCTCGCTTTATTTTTTATTATTTAGATGTTTCTTTTTCTGATTTGCAGGGAATATGTTCCCACTTGCTTCTTTGTCGCGTGGTAGGCACTCCTTGTCAAAATCAGGCCACAATCATGTGCTAGTTGACTTATATTTAAGGTTATGTTTTTTTTTAAAAAATAAATTACCATTTATTGTTTTTAATAGAAAAAAAGAGATTAGTAAAAAATCATATACGAATTAATAAATTAAATATTAAAATATATAAATTATTATTTAATTTAACTTTTTATATATATGTATATATTTATATGTCTCGAATCAAATTTGAATGTAATTTAATATTTGAGAATCAAATGTATATATTTAATTAATATAAATGTAATAAATAATGTTTTTCATAAATAAAAGTCATTAAACACTTAAAATTTAGATGTTTATGCACTGGATTCATATTATCTGTACACTATTAAAATTTTAATTACCATATTTAATAAACTAAACTTTGTCATCAATTTATTACATAAAATAACTATAATAAGTAAGTTTTATAATTTGATTTCATTGAAAATCTTAGGAATTTCACCTACAATTTAATGCAAAATTGGGAGATCAAATGGAAAGAAGGGGTTGAAAAGGTGTAACTCACGCTTGGGTGATGGAAAGTAGAGTGGAAAAGAAACCCAACAAAAAAAGAACAAAAGTAAAAGAAGAAGAATTAATACTAGTAAAAAAGAAAAAAAAAAGAAAATGAAAGGAAAAGAAAAACCAAAGGAAAAAATAGAAAAACAAAATCACCTGAATTTGTCGTTGATGTTGGACTTTTTACAATCCATATCCACTCAAAAACAAAAAAAGAAAAAAAGAAATATCATCCTTTTTCCTTCTCAATTCCAAAAGGAGAATTAACAATTAATTATAATTAATAAATTAAACTCTATGCTTTTTCTTATACTATTTTTTCCTCATTCACGGTTATTTGTCTCACCACAGTCCTCTGGTCGGCAACAACACAAAAACTTTCAGTGTTAAAAATCTCTCCTCTTACTTTTCTTTTCTGTTCTTCTTTAAAACTCTCTCAGTCTCTCTTCACTTTCCCTTAACTCAAAGACCCTGCCTTTTTTCTCTTTTTTGTTTTTGTTGAAACGGGGTTTTCTCTTCTTTTCTTTTCCTTCTCAGAGTCTTTGATTGCTATATCTCTCTTTCATTGAGACATATCTTATTTTTGTTTTGGCCGTAAAGGTTTGAGTTTCCTGCATTGTTGTGCTTATTTGGGTTCATTTTAATCTGGGTTGTCTTTCTTTTCGTGGAAATATACTTCCTTTTGTTCAAAAGGTGAGGTCTTTTAATTCTTTAATGTCTGCTCTTTTTTCTTTCAAGTGAATTCTTTGAATGGTTTTTTTTTTTTTGTGTCTCTGGAACATATGGTGTAATATAGCTATGAAAAATTCTGTTTTTCTTTGTTTTTTGTTTTTTGGTTCTTTCTCAGTTTTGTTCAATATCAGCTAATTTATCTGTTTCATTTGGTTGCTTTTTAGTTCAGTAATAATTTTCTGCCATTTATGTAGTGTATTGATTAAAAAATTTTATTTACTAGAAAAAATATATAAATTTATCATTCTTTCTTTACAATTTTTATTTTTTTGGGTAGATTTTTTATATAACAAAGTTTGTTGTTTTGCTAAGATACTTTTAATTTTCATGTACTGGCAGAATAATCATCAAGTGAGAAAACAGAGCAAAGGAAGTGTAGTTATTTGTATGCTTTAGACCACCTGAATTGGAAGATGATCACAGTTATGGATTCGAGGAAAGAACTCTTGAAGAATTCAGAAAAATGCTTAGATCCTCAACTATGGCATGCCTGTGCTGGTGGCATGGTACAAATGCCATCAGTGAACACCAAGGTGTTCTACTTCCCTCAGGGTCATGCTGAACATGCCAATGGGAGTGTAGATTTTGGGAGTCTTCTGATTCCTTCACTTGTTCTATGTCGAATTGCTGCTGTTAAGTATATGGCAGATCCTGAAACGGATGAGGTCTATTCTAAAATTATGTTGGTCCCTTCGAGAGAGAATGATTTTGGGTATGAAGATGATGGTTTTGATGGAAATATTGGGATGGAGAATCCTGAGAAACCAGCTTCCTTTGCTAAGACATTGACTCAATCTGATGCTAATAATGGTGGGGGTTTCTCTGTTCCACGCTATTGTGCTGAGACCATATTTCCTAGGCTGGATTATAATGCAGAACCTCCTGTTCAGACCATTCTTGCAAAGGATGTCCATGGTGAGGTTTGGAAATTTAGGCATATATACAGGGGGACGCCTCGTCGACATCTTTTGACGACGGGGTGGAGTAATTTTGTGAATCAGAAGAAGCTTGTGGCTGGTGATTCAATTGTGTTTCTCAGAACAGAGAATGGAGATCTTTGTGTGGGAATTCGTAGGGCAAAGAGAGGAATTGGGAGTGGACATGAGTATCCATGTGGGTGGAATTCAGGGGGTGGAAGCTCTGGTTCACAATTTGGGGGTTATTCTCCATTCTTGAGGGAGGATGAGAGTAAATCGATGAGGAAGGACTCTAATGGGGATATGAGGGGAAAAGTAAGAGTTGAGTCTGTTATTGAAGCTGCGACTCGTGCAGCCAATGGGCAGCCCTTTGAGGTTGTTTACTATCCACGAGCAAGCACTCCAGAGTTCTGCGTGAAGGCCTCATCAATTAGAGCTGCAATGCAAATCCAATGGTATCCTGGGATGAGGTTCAAAATGGCTTTTGAAACTGAGGACTCTTCACGGATTAGCTGGTTCATGGGAACAATATCTTCTGTTCAGGTTGTTGATCCCATCCGTTGGCCTAATTCTCCATGGCGTCTTCTACAGGTATTTTACTGTTCTCATATGTTATCGTCATAGTTTAAATCCATATATTGTTGTTGTTTTAGCAATGCTATGCTCTTCATTAGTGGCCCCCAGAATTTAATTTATTCTCATATGGTACATCCATACTTTCTAAGCTTTATATTCTGCTCATAGTTTTGCTTCTAATTTCTTCTTCTCGAATTAACTTCTTTCAGGTAGCATGGGATGAGCCAGATTTACTCCATAATGTGAAGCGTGTTAGCCCATGGCTGGTTGAATTGGTCTCAAACATACCAGCAATCCATCTTAATCCTTTCTCACCACCTAGGAAAAAGATGCGACTTCCACAACACCCAGACTTTTCCTTACTTAGCCAAATTCCAATGCCATCATTCTCTGGCAACTCTCTCAGGTCCAGCAGCCCCGTATGTTGCATTACAGACAACATTCCTGGAGGCATACAGGGAGCCAGGCATGCACCATTCGGGTTATCTTCATCAGATCTCCACTCCAACAAGCTGCAGTCGGGTCTGTTTCCACTTGGTTTACAGCAACTTGATCATACTGCCCCACCAACTAGAATCTCCAGTGAGAACTTTTCTAGTGACAATGTGAACAAAAAGAATATATCTTGCATGCTTTCAACGGGAAATCCTACCCAGAGTTTGAAAGAAATCAATGAAGTAAAGACACCTCATATTTTATTGTTTGGTCAACTCATTTTCAGTGAGCAGCAGGCTTCCCAGAGCTGCTCGGGTGATACAGCTGGAAACAGTTCATCTGATGGGAATACAGAGAAGACTGCAATTTCTTCTGATGGCTCTGGATCTGCATTGCATCAAACCGCTCGGGAAAATTCTTCTTCGGAGGGGTCTCCTTGGTGCAAAGAGCATAAAAAATCTGATCTTGGCTTGGAGACTGGTCATTGCAAAGTGTTTATGGAATCAGAGAATGTGGGTAGAACCCTTGATCTTTCGGTTCTTAGATCATATGAAGAGCTCCATGGGAAGCTGGCCAACATGTTTGGCATAGAAAGTTCAGAGATGCTGAGCAGTGTGCTCTACCGCGATGCTGCTGGTTCTGTTAAACACACAGGAGATGAGCCCTTCAGGTAATCTAATTGTTCCTTAGAATCACTTCCTTTTGCTTGCTAAGCATTTGCTTTCGATTTGTCAGATGTTAATAATGTTTTCTTATTGTTTTATGTTTTGCAGTGAGTTTCTGAAGACAGCAAGGAGGCTAACAATTCTCATGGATTCAGGCAGTGACAACTTAGGAAGATAGAGATCAAGCATTTTTCACTAATTGTACAGTTTCCAAGTCGTTGGTTTTGCTTTTCATTTCATTTCTTCTTGGGTAGTTGTGACAAAGATCCACTTTACCCATTTTTGTGATAGTGTAAACCACATTTTGTTGCTTAGCTTAAAATTTTCTTAGGAGAGAAAATGATCCATTTCCTTTTATCTTAATTTCTAATTCGAGTCCTAGAAACTGTAAGCTTATAACAGAAAAAGCATTGCCCTTTTTGCTCTGTGTGGAGTGTAGGGCTGCGGCGTGCTGAATAAATGTTCCTACTTGGGGCTTTGTATGCATATCTACCTAAGAAATGGAGAATACTTTTCGCTTTATCAAGATGACTTCAAGACCAGTAATGGTTGCTAACCTGCCAAGTTATTTGTCAAGTTTCTTTGTTTCATGGTAGAATTCTTGCCAGCTTCTTCCTGTGCATTTTAGCATGGGGTTTCTGACATTTGATTCAGTAGAGTCATGTTGTACGTAGAATTCCTAATTGGTTGCTTCAATGTATGTGGAGCGTGGTTAAAAAGTCGTACAACTGTTTGTTTGTTTCTTGTTTCTTTTCCATTGCTCAGCAAAAGAAACCCATTTTTCAATATGATGAGGTAACCTTTGTCAGTCTGAACAGTGGATGGTCATAGTCTGATAACGTGTTCGTTTTTGAACATTGGCAGCAATCAGACAAAGCACCGTTAACCACCTGTTGTTAGGGTAAAGAATCTTAGATTTTTAACTTTCTAGCAAAGCCACAAAGTCAATGTTTTAATAACTTAATTCAAGAGAACCCTAGACCTAGACTGAAAGTGGATTTATATTTGTTTATACAACAGGAAGAGACATTTCTTTTGCCTAGGTTGGAATGTCTTTATCAGCTTTCTCCAGCCGTTTCTTTGATTTTGAATCACTTCTCTCATAATCATACTCTCTCTGGACCCTCTTGTCCATGTCTTATTATGTAATACTTGCACACAATTTCTAGAGATCCTAACCGAACCCCCCCGCTTGTTTGTTAGTCATGTCTGTCTGAAACTTCTCGGATGGGGATAAGAACCAAACCCCAGAACCTTGCTTAGAAACTGGTCATCTGTTTCACACTTAGTGAGAACCATGCCGCTTGGGGAAGCACAGACAAAATACTTAGTGTATGGACTAAATTGAATGGGCAATTTTCAAATCCCTTAAAATCATTTATATTTTAAGTTGCCATCCTCGATCTGGTGGGAGATTCAATAGGAAAAGGGGTTTGTCTTGGGTTGAAAGCTATGAGGTTCTTAGGGTTAAGACATGTCAATAGTTTAGACAGTAAAACTTGGATCCTATGTTGACCAAACTACAGGGGAAGGTGGGGGTGGCTTTGAAATTTGATACAGTTGTGTAACGAAGCATGAAGACTGCGGAATTTCTGTTGTATACACATGTCTGTAATCAATGACATAGCAAAAAAAAGAAAAACCTTACATAAGACTTTTCATAAAGTTTTTTTTTTAAAATTAAGATTCGAAGATTGCATATCTGAAATTTTTTTAAATACAATTAAAACCGACATTTTATAAAAAAAAATCCGATACAAAAATATATATACAAGACAAAAAATCACTAATTCTAAGATCACACTTTAATAAATTGATAATAGATAGTAGTCAATTAGCTTATTAGAAAGTTTGGGCATTTTATTTTTATGCTACTTTATGAATATCAATTACTATTAGACTTTATGAATATAAAAAGTATTAAAACATGTATATAAAAAGTATTATTATTAATATATATATATATATATATATATATATATGTACCTAACATACAACAATTTATATTGTCATGATGACAGAACAGGAAGGGATGGATGGACGAGGCAAGCCGGGTCTCAAGGCATCGGATGTGCAAAGATAAGCACATACATCTCTTGTAATTAAAAACACAGTTTAACCAAAAGGTCAACTACCCCACAAGCCATGCACTTGATGAGATTACTTTGCATTTGAAAAAGTATAAAATAAATGTTAAATTAACAGTGATGGATTTAAAATTTTACAAAACAATTAAATGTAATCAAACAAGATTATAAATTTATATATTTAAAATTATATCTATAATAATTAAAAAATAAAAATTAAAAAATGACGATTACACTTAGTGTCGAACGTTAGTATATGGTCTCTTCAATTTAATTGTGGTTTTAGCTACCATTTGTTGGAACTAGGTTTGGGTCAAGGTACAAAACTATGTAATAATTAATAATTTTTACATTGATATAACTTGATCTTCCATCTTAATTTAGAATATCGAGATAGTGCTGATATGTTGTGTCATTTTTATAAAAAAAATTATTAAAAAAAATCATAAACAATGTGGTGAAATCCATGCACAAGTGCACAACCAACCAAATTAGTGTTGGGGGATATTTTTAATTGAAGAAAAGGTTTCAACAAAATTTCCAACCATGAAAGTTTGACTCTTGTGGTAGACAAAACCATGAATAACACGTCCCTGGTTTAATAAAAAGCCAAATTGGGGTTAACCAGCTGGGGTTATGAGTGCAGGGTCAAACAGGCAAGGCATTGAACTGGCTTCACTTGGAATTGCACAAGGCAGACAAAGATACGTGAGTCAAGCAATGCTGGCCCCACTCTTTTTATGTTCAAAGTGACACACTCCTCACATCACAAAAATAATTTTAATTTGACCAACATTCAATCTCTCTTGTCAAAAAAATTTGAACTTCTCCTGATATTATCGTGCTTTTTTCTCTTTAATTTCCCATTCACTAGCTTCTATTTATAATTGACGAATTGAGAATTTTGTATAAGAAGTGATTAAAGAGTAAATCATATAAGATTATAAATTTATATATATTATAATAAAAAAATTAAAAATTAAAAAATTGAATGAACTTTTTAATTATTGTAAATACTCATTTTTGACTTGGATAATATTAAGGATAGTTTAGTGGAACATTTGTTGATTATATGAGGTTGTATATTGAATAATGAAGTTTTGATTTTTAGGGCTAAAAACCATGGGTGTCTTTGTATATATGGTGGTTGAGATGTTGCCTAATGATATCTACAATTTTTCTCTTTGCATCAATAAAAATTATAATTACAATCTAACAATAAAATATATCAATAAATCAACATAAAATTAAATCAATTCCCATATAATGAGTTTGTATAGCCGGGTAAGAATTCTTGTTACATTGATCATTTTTCTTATATAATATAACATAGAATAATCATTTTGTGAAACAAAATATTGGTTTTGAAGATATTTTATGTCTTGATTTCGGTCCGTTTAATTAGCATTTTTTAGTTAAATTAAAGGTAACAAATTTTATCATTATTGTTTTACCTAAATCAGTGGAATATACCTAATTTACTATTTATATACACACACACTTAAGACATGTCACATGTGCTCTATAGGACACCAAAACATTTCTAGAAGATTACACTAAGTAAATTCCTTGGCATGCTTTGACATTGAAAGTTTGCAACTCTTGGATCAAGATGGGCACACAGAAAACTAAATTCGGTTTCTTTTTCATCTTTTCAAACAAAATATAGGTAACAATTTGATAGAGAACCATCCATGTCTCCACCAAAAGTTAAATTCAAAACTAAATTTTTAATTTTTACTCCGAATCAAATCATTGTTTCGACTTATAATCTTATATAATTACTCTCTAATCATTTTTCATACAAAATTTTAAATTTATCATTGATACCACATTCATATTTCATTATTATTTAATTTTTATAAATTATTATAAAGAGATTAAATCAAGCACTTTGCAATGATTCATCAACTAATTTGATATTTTAATTATAAACTTGCATTTTCTAGAAGAAAAAGATAGGGTTAGCTTTTTTGAAGAAAGGCAAAAAGAAGGGAAAAATTGTCAACACTTTATAAATGGTAATTATTAGGTTAGAGAAAGCGTTGAATGTGATTACTCATTGTGGATTTCTATAGCATGAAATAGGCAACATGCTGTTTAATGTTTGGTGTCAGTGAGCAGGATCCAAGAATTGCCTTTGATTTTTATATGTGTAATGCCCAGGAGTCAACCGCCAGGAAAAGTAAACTACTTCCGACATGGGATTTGAAAACTCTCCTACTTGCTTTTGAGTTTCCTATGCATACGCAATTAAAGAATGTGACATGGGAAAACACAATCACACCATCAAGATTTGGACCAATTAATTGTCTTAATTTCTGTTCAATGCGTTTTGGGTTTTGTCAAGGACAAAACAATAGTTAAAAGGAAAATGGTAAATGATTAGTAATAATTATTTTTAGATATAATAACTAAAAAAGTCTTTTCATTATTTTTAAAAAATTAAAATAAATCTTTATATTTTTATTATGTTTAATTAAGTTTTTATACTTTTATTTTGAACTAAATAAATTTTTGTATTTGTATTTTGAATCAAATAGATCTTTATGACTAATAATTGACTTAATTAAAATGACAAATAATTTTATACTGAATGGAACTGACATCATATGTTAACATATTATAATTTATAATGATATGATATGTGATATATTATAATTGATAATGATATAACATGTTAATTTAACATGATAACATGATCATGTTACATTTTTTACCCTTCACATCAATGTCATGTCAGTGTTATATGGATATAGAATGAAAAGTAACATTTTAATTAATGAAAATTAATCAATCATTAGTCATAAATGTTTATTTGCTCAAAAATAAAAATATAAGAACTTGATTGAATATAATAAACTAACAAAAATTTATTTAAATTTTTTTGAATAATTTAGGAACTTATTTGATCATTATACTTTATTTTTAAAATCAACTTTATTTACCTTTGTATATCATTATTTCTATCATCGCAATTTCGAACCATTTAGTATTCTCCTAAGATTTATCAGTGAATCTCTTTTTTTTTTTTAAAAAAAAAACTTTAGTAAAAGCCATATTGTCCACTAACCAGCTGATCATTTAGGCAAAAGTGAATGATATTCAGCTTAAGAATCTAACTTCAATTTTTTAAGCAATTAGAAGCTGTATGTATTAAGGAACTTAAACTCACACCTCCTTTCTCAAGTGCCAAAACGTTGGGTACAGCCCTACTAGTTTATTGCATCAAGCCCAAAATCACTCTTTGGAGTTGGAAAACCCCTCTAGACTTGGGTCACTGATTAAGATTACAACCCTAATAACCATAATCATGGGTTTAACCAAACTTGCACTGAACCCATTTGCTGCTCTCAGTTAAGTGGGCTCAACAATGGAAGTAGAAAAGATAATAATACAAATGGTTTGAGAAT